GGGGGGGTGGTAGGTGGGTTCAGATCGAGATACATTAAAAGAAGATAGCTTAATTGTCCATCGCATCTTATTTATTTCTGGCATTTACGTTATAATATAGTACCCTGCACCTTAATGATACTCTACATTATTATTATAAATTATATGATTAATATATTAATTATTGTTGCTAATATTTAATATTTCTTCTTCTTCTTCTTCTTCTTATTATTATTAATACTATTTCTAATAATAATAATACATATCATTGTTGTTGTTAATAAATATTAATCGTTTTGGGTAAGACATTAAACACAAAATAACGATGAGAATGACGATTGTATAGTTTAATTGGTTAAAAGTGTTTTATATTACTGAGAAGTTCTACATTACTGTAAATGAAATTTCGTATTTATTTAATGATACATGTTTAAGTTATTCCATGGCTGAACCCCTCCCCACTTCGAAATTGTTATGCAACGTCAAACGTGTCCACATTCCTTTACAGGGATAAAATCTTTCGACTTGCGATGATTAATTGCTTTTGTACGGTAATCCACCCAATAAACATGTCGACATTTTATTCATGAACATTTCAACAAATAGCAAATAGCCTTTTCAATGGAATGGTAAATAAAATTTGATTATTTAAAACAATATGTAGCGCTACAATACACGAATAATATCAATAATATCATATTAAACTTCCCATGCAGGATCCGTTTCGCTGGGCTACATTTCGGCTCCTTGGTACGATAAATGCTTACGGCGCAGTAGGTCGAAGCTTATCAACTCATGGTAGTAGTCTTCCCGATCTCCTTTGTTGTACAAACAGGGAAAGAGTATAGAGATGTCCTATTCACGGTGTCCGGAGTGTTTCTCTCCCATTGCCTATAGAAAAGTATAAATCCTAACTGGCGTTGAACGGGCCAGCCCAGGGGACAGTGATTAATGATAGTAGTGCATAAAGGTTAACACACTGAACTGAAAAGTCTGTTGACTGGGATCCTCGTGCTACAATGCGGAGCGCTGCACGCCTCGAGAGAATCCTTTTGTTTCCTCCTCCAATTGTGTTTTTAAAAAAATTCTGCCCACGAAAGTTTGCCAACCCACCCTGTCCCGAGAGTTTAATAGTTTCTCTTACTCCACTGGCATTGTATCATTGTGAAAAGCAGCTCCTTCTATTCAAGTGTTGGTGGTCACCTCAATAGGTCTACAAACGCCCATATGGTGACTACCATTGAAGAATCACAGTATTTGAAAAGGGGAAAGTTTGGGTTTTAAAACATTTCAGTTGGCCTGAAAAGGTTTTACCACATTTTGTCACATTTCCCTTAACCATTTGAGCGCTTGGCCATTGTTGATCAATGATAAAAGAATTTATACTGAAGCAACAGCCTAACCAAAGTATATATCACAAATTATTTCACAGCCTAGTAGAGGGTCATGTTCGTTAATATTGCCGCTGTACAAGCATCGAATATTATAATAACATCACACGTTAATGCATTCCCGCAGAAGCGTCTACTAGCCAGTTAAAAACATCTAGCGAAAGCGCACATAACGGCACCGTTAATATCGCACTCTGATATCGCGCCCAAAATGAAAGAATAAAAAAGCTTTCACCTAACGGCGGCAACAATAAATGAGCACTTTCCTTAAATCCAAATACACATTTGAAGATAATTATAGCCTGCTTTCAGTGAGTATTTAATTATAACCTACGAGGTAATGAGTGTCAAGTTTTTTTCCTAATTTTTTTTTTCCACAGGACAAAAATGCCCAAGGTTGCTTCGTATTCTAATTCCAACCCTAGTCAAAAGTGGAGAATTTGCATGTTTGCATTGTTGCCTCAAATTAGAGATCTCCTGACTAGCACTTATCATCGAAATCTAATCAACATTGAACAAAACAAAAAGATCACTTGAAAACAAATACCGCTTATTCAATGTAGCTCTCGAAAGTTTTTTTTTGCGCAATAGCCTATTGAAGGAAAGACAGCGGCGACTACTTTCACGCGTCGTATTTGCCATATATTCGGTTAGATGAGTCTAGAAAAGATTGCCTCCCAAATAACATGAATTTGTTGTGCTAATATGCTTATAACAGTAGAAAATGCACTTGAGCTTACGTCAATGTTTTGCTTATTTTACAGATGGCTGCCAGCAGCAGGATGGGGGAGGTGAAAACACCAACTCAATTAGCTCCAATGGCGAGGATTCGGACGAGACCCAAATGAGGCTACAACTGAAAAGAAAGTTGCAAAGGAATCGCACGTCATTCACGCAAGAGCAGATAGAAGCTCTGGAAAAGGGTAACTACTCGGTTAATCTGCTTACACTTGTGTAGTGAGCCAGTGTAATACTCAGGCAGAAATTTATAACTCACTGCTTTGAATCTGAATCCCTTCTACTTACATTATAAGCAAAATATTATAAATATACGTTGACACATGTCATTATATATTATTTATTCCATATTGATGATTTAATGCAGATGTGTTTTTCTGCAGAATTTGAAAGAACTCACTATCCAGATGTTTTTGCAAGGGAAAGACTCGCTGCCAAAATTGACCTCCCAGAGGCTAGAATACAGGTGAACTAGGATTCCTCAGTTTGGCCTTTTCCTAATTGTACAGCACTGGTAGAATATATGATAACAGCAATGTAGCCAGATGACTCGCGATCAACGATATCCTTGGGCATGCAGGTGTGGTTTTCAAACAGAAGAGCGAAATGGAGGAGAGAGGAAAAACTCCGAAATCAACGAAGACAAGCCAGCAACTCCTCCAGTCACATTCCCATCAGCAGCAGTTTCAGTACGAGCGTCTACCAGCCGATCCCGCAGCCGACCACTCCAGGTCAGTGGCTGACAATCTCCACACTGGCCAATGTTTTAACGTTCAGCCATCACAATAAATATAATTTCTGCAGATTTTAAATGTTAGGCGTACACTGTTGTACAACAAAACATAATTATATAAAAATACAGACACAGGTCTTGCAGTATTTCATCTCAGGAAATGATATATTCTGATACTACAGTTCTAATAGCAATTATTAATATCTCATTGTTCTATAAAATGTAATGATTTTAATGTTTTCTTGTTGTTTTTCTCTCACCGCAGTGTCTTTCACATCAGGGTCCATGCTGGGAAGATCAGACACTGCCCTCACTAATACGTACAGTGCCCTGCCACCTATGCCAAGCTTTACCATGGCAAACAACTTACCCATGCAGGTGAGGGGCACAGCAAACAGACCTTAATTTTCTAGACACCGAAGCTGATCCATTCACTGAAGGTCGTAAACAATCTGTTTTAATGACTGATGGAATATGTATAATGTATGCCCTGAAAACAATAACAAAGACTTAACATACATTCGTTATATTTAGAGTGGAAGTCATATAGGTCCCCAGCTAACATATATGTATGTTCTCCTTGCAGCCCCCAGTGCCTAGCCAGACATCCTCCTACTCTTGCATGTTGCCCACGAGTCCATCAGTGAATGGGCGGAGCTACGACACATACACTCCTCCTCATATGCAGGCGCATATGAACAGCCAATCAATGGCCACCTCTGGTACCACATCAACAGGTAGGCACTTGTTTGATCACAGTAAATTACAAAACAAAATCACCTCCTTGCTATATTCACCTTATATCGTCTTTCTGACTGTTAATTGAATAAATAATTCCATAAACTCTACGGTCATGCATACTTGTATCCATTTCCTGCTCCACCTCTGTGGTAAGATGAGATAAGATCATTGAAATAAAATGATTGAAATAAAGTACCCTTTGGTACATCTTTTATTTATTGGATGATGTCCAGTGTAGGGGGGGGGG